ATTTACTCTGATCATAACATCATAGAGGTTCAAACTAGTATTAACTCAGGGGTAGGAAACTGCATCACTAAAGTTAGAGATGGGATGTTCAGTAAGTTTAATTTTAACAACCATAGAATTAACTGGGAAAAAATAAACCAAGAGCTATCAGACACACCCTGGGAATCACACATGAGCGACCTAAATCCCCACCAGTGCCTAGAGAAGCTGAATACAGAAGCATACAAAGTATGTATGAAACATGTACCATTGAGGAAACCCAGGGGAAGATCAGATATAGAGAGAGAGCATAGGAGATGGTACAGAAGAAGAAAACAGGTTACTGAACTGCTTAAAAACACAAATATGCTACAACAGAGGAAAGATAGACTTAGCAGAGAGATCACTGAATTAGAGCAAAAACTTAGGATGTCATACCTCATAGAAGAAATACAAAGGGAACAAAAGGCCATACAGGATATTGCAAGAAACCCAAAATATTTCTATTCCTATGCAAAATCCAAGCTAAGAACTACCTGTAGAATTGGACCACTACTGAGAGGAGACTCATATACTGACGATGAACAGGAAATGAGTGAAATCCTGAAAGAACAGTACGAGTCGGTGTTCAGCAACCCACTAAATGACAGCAAGGTAGAAAATGCAGAAATATTTTTCACTCCAGAAGAAGGCTTCACAGACCAACTAACTGACATTAGTACAAATCCCATAGATTTCGAAAAAGAAATGGAAAACATGCCACTCACTCAGCACCTGGACCAGATTCATGGAATGCTCTATTTATAAAGAAGTGCAAAGTACCACTAGCACGAGCCCTCAGTATTCTTTGGAGAAAGAGCTTAGATCTAGGTGAAATACCGGAGGCCTTAAAGTGCAGACATAGCTTCTTTGCACAAGGGAGGCAGTAGAGCACTAGCTAAAAATTACAGACCAGTAGCCCTAACCTCTCACATCATAAAAATCTTTGAAAGAGTGATGAGACGGCAGGTTACAAATTTCATGGACCAGCACAACCAACATAACCCGAACCAGCATGATTTTAGAGCAGGACGATCATGTCTGTCACAGTTGCTGAACCATTATGACAGAATTACAGAGGCACTGGAAGACGACCAAAACACAGATGTGATTTACACAGATTTTGCAAAGGCGTTTGACAAATGCGATCATGGAGTGATAGTGCACAAAATGGACATAAGAAAGGAGGATCACTGCAGCAGGCCTGTTGGCCCATACTAGGCAGGCCATGGGAAGGTAGGCAGATGGATTTTCAGTTTCCTAACACAGAGAACACAAAAAGTAGTAGTGAACAGGGCAAGATCCAGCATCAGCGAGGTCAAAAGCTCAGTGCCCCAAGGCACTGTCCTGGCACCTCTGTTGTTCCTCATCCTCATAGCAGACATAGACAAAAACACCCAGCACACTTTTGTATCATCATTTGCAGATGACACTAAAATAAGCATGAAAGTAAGTATGGTAGAGGACACTGAAAAAGTACAGGAAGACATAAACAGGGTTTTCCAGTGGGCAGTGGAAAACATGATGTTCAGTGGTGATAAGTTCCAGCTGCTTAGGTATGGAAAGAATGAAGAACTCAAAAGGAGCACTATATACAAAACTCAAGAGGGTCACCAAATAGAACGTAAGGAACACGTAAAAGACCTAGGAATAATTATGTCAGCGGACCTTTCTTTTAAAGACCATAACAAGACAAAGATCACGACAGCCAGGAAGATGACCGGGTGGGTATTGAGAACTTTCAAAACAAGGGAAACAATGCCGATGGCGACTCTTCAAATCGCTAGTGCTCCCTCACTTAGAATATTGCTCAGTGCTGATGGCCTCGTTCAGGGCAGGAGAAATATCGGAGCTGGAACAAATAGAGATCGTTTACAGCTCACATTGAGCCAGTAAAGCACCTAAACTACTGGGAATGCTTGCAAGTCTTGAACATGTACTCATTGGAGCAGAGGAGAGAGAGGTACATGATAATATATCCCTGGAAGGTACTCGAGGGCTTGGTCCCAAATCTGCACACTGCCATAACAGCATACTGGAGTGAGAGATATGGGAGGAAGTGTAAAATAAACCCAGTGAGGAGCAGGGGTGCAGTGGGGAAAATAAGAGAACACTGTATCAACATCTGGGGTCCCAGACTTTTCAACATCTTACCAGAAGATATCAGAAACACTGCTGGAACAAGTGTTGAAGCCTTCAAGAGGAAACTAGACAAGTATCTTCACCAGGTGCCAGATCAACCAGGCTGTGATGGATATGTGGGGCAGTGGACCTCCAGCAGCAACAGCCTGGTTGACCAGGCGAGCACCAGACGAGCCTGGCCCATGGCCAGGCTCAGAGAGTAGATATACTCTCGAAATTCTTCAAAGGTAAAGGTATATCAAAGGTAACCTTGCCTTTATATGTTTTTACTCTTGCACACAAACATGTCTGTATGTCTGTCAGTCTGTCTATCTATCTGTCTATACATCTGTCTGTCTATCTAGCTCTGCTTATCTGTCTGCCTGTGTGTGTGTCTTTCCATCTGCTCGTCTGTGTCTCAGGGAGTGGCTAGTAAGCCTGTTGGTTTGTGGTTTATGGGCCGCTCCCTGATTGCTGAGCAAGTGACACTGCTATTATTTGCATCATGTTTATTTATGTCTTATATCTACAAACACTGATTAGCACTTGTCCTGGAATTTTTGGGTTATCCTAGGTAATTTACATTATGTATAATTATATTTATGAGTACATGTGAGAGAGAGAGATATAGACAGACAGAGATAATAGACAGATACAGACAGACAGCCAAACCAGCCAGTCAGCCGAATACATAAGAACACGAGAAAGGAGGAACACTGAAGCAGGCCTACTGGCCCATGCATAGCAGGTCCATGTCACCTGCCCAGCTTAGACCATGACCCACCTAGTCAGGTTACATCCACTGAAAGAAGGAGCACACCACTGACCCAGCAGCACAAGATAGTCAGATCCAACTCACACCTACTCATGCATTTATCTAACCTATTTTCACTTTCCTCTTAAAATGTGAGTGTTAATATGACATGACATCAGTGAATCACTGGTGTTTGCCACACTATTTGCTGTAGGTGGCACTCAGTTGAACTGGTGCTCCCACAAGGTACTAAGTAGTCCCCAGTTTTTTTCATAGTGCGCACACTGAGTGCACAGACCCATTCTTTCATGTCTAGGCGACTCAGGCTTATTGCACAAAATTTGAAGGAATGAATTATAAAATGTTGATCTACGTTTGGAGCCTTCTACACGTGAACGTATATCTACGTGTGGACAGTTTAAGGGTTAAACAAAAATACTAACCACTCTAACACTATATCCCCCCTCCCTGCTTTTAACATTTCTGTCATGATCCATCAGTTCCAGCTGCTTTACCCCCCTTTCATTCTATGTAATGCCTCACGCACCTCCCCCACACTCACATCCTGCTCTTCGTCACTCCTAAAAGATGGTATACCTCCCTGGCCAATGCATGAAATTACCGCCTCCCTTTCTTCGTCGACATTTAAAAGTTCCTCAAAATATTCCCGCCATCTACCCAATACCTCCATCTCCACGTCTACTAACTCCCCTGCTCTGTTTTTAACTGACAAATCCATTCTTTCCCTTGGCTTTCTTAACTTGTTTAACTCACTCCAAAATTTTTTCTTATTTTCATTAAAATTTCTTGACAGTGCCTCTCCCACTGTCATTTTAGAATACACTTCTAAAATGCCAAGTGGATTAAGCATGCACCGATGGCCACCCATCTAAGTACAGTGGACCCCCGCATAACGATCACCTCCGAATGCGACCAATTATTTATGTAAGTGCGTTTGTACGTGTATGTTTGCGGGTCTGAAATGGACTAATGTACTTCACAATATTCCTTATGGGAACAAATTCGGTCAGTACTGGCACCTGAACATACTTCTGGAGTGAAAAAATATCGTTAACTGGGGGTCCACTGTAATTAACCAGTGCTGCACGACTTCCCTGACCAGACATGTAGAAGTGTTTGCAGGTCTGAAATGACTTTAACTCTCTTGCAGCTATTTCTTAATTAAAACACTGGCCATCTCCCACCAAGGTAGGGTGACCCGAAAAATAAACACTTTCACCATAATTCACACTATCACTCTTGCCAAAGGTGTGCAGACACTACAGTTCAGATGCCCTTTAGAGCTGTAAATCTCCCCACCCCTCCTTCAGTGCGCAGGCAATGTACTAAGTCCGGCTATTTTTTTTTTTTTTTTTTAATCCTTTCACAAAAAGTTGCCTTGCTCACAGTGCAATAAATAATAAAACTATCTCTTAAGGAGTTCTTAGAACATAAATACTTGAGTTGGTGTGTTTGTAATTTTTATCCCTGGTAGTTTGTTGGGAAACTATGGGGTCTAAAATTATCTTTGGTTACTGTGATGTGAGTAAGCTTTGGAACTTCTCTAACATGAGCTGTTTTAATTTTTTACATCAGTTACTGAATAGTTCATTTATATAACTTAATAGTTATCTGTGTATGTTTCAGCTCTTCTTAGTGAATTAGATGTTTCTCATTGATACAGTATAAGCTGTAATGAGGTATTTCCTGTGTTCTGCACTGGCTGCAGACAAGCTCACAGACCTGTTGGCTGACAATGCGGACAACACTCAAGTGGTGGAAATAAACAGAGGGTAAACTAGGCAAAATTGAAATGGGATAGTTTAATATTGGTTTTTGTGGTAAAGGGTATTTTAATATTACTAATTTCTAAAGGTTCATCAAACCCGAACAAAAATAGAAGTAGGAATCACTTGTATTTATATTTTGACACACAACACACACACACACACACACTACTCAAATTCAATTTATTGTAATCAGTAATATACAGTTTCTAATGTAATGATTAGGTTAGGTTTCATGAAAATTTTGATTATGGTTGAGATGTTCTTTTTAAATTTATGAATGAGTGCATTTTTGATGCGTACTTAATTTTTTTATACAGTCATACCGGACAGCACTGAAGCTCAAGCCAGATTTCCCAGATGCTTACTGTAATCTTGCACATTGTCTACAAATTGTGTGTGACTGGACTGATTATGATGCTCGTATGAAGAAATTAGTTGCCATTGTTGGTGAGCAGTTGGAGCGCAATCGTCTGCCGTCCGTGCATCCTCACCATTCAATGCTATATCCACTGTCCCATGAGTACCGCAAGGCTATTGCTAATAGGCATGCAAACCTCTGTATGGAAAAGGTAAAGTATTCATTTATACTCAAGTTTAATTTACCTTTTTTTTTTTTTTTTTTATTTATCACAATATTGTTTTGTTTTGCCACATCGACTATGTTCCAGAAGGCAGGGTGACCCAAATAAGAAGTACAGGTATACCTCACTAATATGGTGGTTTAGGTTTCAGGCCACTGCTATAAAGCAAATCTCGACCTTTTTATCACCTGCCGGTGCATATAAAAGTCTAAAAACATGTTTACACTATCATTTATTAAATGCACCCTAGTGCAAAGTCGTGAAAAAAGATATGAAAGTAAAATCAAATTTAAAAAAAGATGGCACCAGTTAGCTGATGTGAGTGTCACGACCGAAAGTAATAAGCTTGAATGTAATTTAAGTAGGTTGGTAGACAGCAACAACCCAGGGAGGTACTACCGTCCTGCCAAGTGAGTGTAAGATGAAAGCCTCTAATTGTTTTACATGATGGTAGGATTTCTGGTGTCTTTTTTTCTCTCTCTCATAAACATGCAAGATTTCAGGTACGTCTTGTTACTTCTACTCACAATTACATGTTTATGTGTACACACTTATCTGAGTTTTCTTTGATTTTATCTTAATAGCTCTTGTAAATAAGTTGAGGAAGCCTAGGGAACAAATGGATTTGACAGTTAAAAATAGGAGAGGAGAGTTGTTAAATGGAGAGTTAGAGGTATCGGGAAGATGGAGTGAATATTTTGAGGAATTGTTAAATGTTGATGAAGATAGGAGGAATAACATCTTGTAGGAGTGAGGAAGAGCCATTTGTGAGTATGGGGGAAGTTCGTGAGGCAGTGGGTAGAATGAAAGGCCAGCTGCGATTGATGGGATAAAGATAGAAATGTTAAAAGCAGGTGGGGATATAGTTTTGGAGTGGTTGGTGCTATTATTTAATAAATGTATGGAAGAGGGTAAGGTACCTAGGGATTGGCAGAGAGCAAGCATAGTTCCTTTGTATAAAGGCAAACAGGATAAAAGAGAGTGCAAAAATTATAGGGAAATAAGTCTGTTGAGTATACCTGGTAAAGTGCATGGTAGTTACTATTGAAAGAATTAAGAATAGGATAGCAGATGAACAAGGAGGCTTTAGGAAAGTGTTTGCAGTGGAACATATAGGTGAACAGTATTTAGATAAGGTTAAAGAGGTCTTTGTGCCATTTATGGATTTGGAAAAGGCATATGACAGGGTAGAGAGGGGGCAATGTGGCAGATGTTGCAGGTGTATGGTATAGGAGGTAGGTTACTGAAAGCAGTGAAGAGTTTTTACGAGGATAGCGAGGCTCAGGTTAGAGTATGTAGGAGAGAGGGAGATTATTTCCCAGTAAAAGTAGGCCTTAGACAAAGATGTGTGATGTCACCGTGGTTGTTCAATACATTTATAGATGGGGTTGTAAGAGAAGTGAATGCTAGGGTCTTGGCAAGAGGTGTGGAGTTAAAAGATAGTCAAACAGAGTGGGAGTTGTCACAGTTGCTCTTTGCTGATGACACGGTGCTTTTGGGAGATTCTGCAGAGAAGTTGCATAGGTTGGTGAATGAAATTGGTAAGGTATGTAAAAGAAGAAAATTAAAAGTGAATATAGGAAAGAGTAAGGTTATGAGGATAACAAAGACATTAGGTGATGAAAGATTGGATATCAGATTAGAGGGAGAGAGTATGGAGGAGGTGAATGTATTCAGATATTTAGGAGTGGACGTGTCAGCAGATGTCTATGAAGGATGGGGTGAATCACAGAATTGATGAAGGGAAAAGAGTGAGTGGTGCACTTATGAGTCTGTGGAGACAAAGAACTTTGTCCGTGGAAGCAAAGAGGGGAATGCATGAGAGTATTGTGAAGCATGGGTGATGAATGTTGCAACGAGGTGAAGGCTGGAGGCAGTGGAGATGTCATGTCTGAGGGCAATGTGGTGTGAATATAATGCAGAGAATTCGTAGTTTGGAAATTAAGAGGTGTGGGATTACCAAAACTATTATCCAGAGGGCTGAGGAGGGGTTGTTGAGGTGGTTCAGACATGTAGAGAGAATGGAACAAAACAGAATGACTTGGAGAGTGTATAAATCTGTAGTGGAGGGAAGGCGGGGTAGCAGTCGGCCTATTAAGGGTTGGAGGGAGGGGGTAAAGGAAGTTTTGTGTGCGAGAGGCTGGAACTACCAGCAAGCATACATGAGCATATTTGATAGGAGTGAATGGAGACAAATGGTTTTTAATACTTGATGTGCTGTTTGAGTGTGAGCAAAGTAACATTTATGAAAGGATTCAGGGAAACTGGCAGGCCACACTTGAGTCCTGGAGATGGGACGTACAGTGTCTACACTCTGAAGAAGGGGTGTTAGTGTTGCAGTTTTATAACTGTAGTGTAAAGCATCCCTCTGGCAAGACAGTGATGGAGTGAATGATGATGAAAGTTTTTCTTTTTCAGGCCACCCTGCCTTGGTGGGAATCGGCCGATGTATTAATAAAAAATAAATAGTTCTTGTTCTTATTGCTTTTCCTTTTATATCCATGGGGAAGTGGAATAAGAATCTTTCCTCCACAAGCCATGTGAGTTGTAAAAGTCAACTAAAATGCCGGGAACAATGGGCTAGCAACCCCTTTTCCCGTATAGCCTACTAAAAAGAAAAAGAAGAAAACCGTCAAAGTGAGATGTTTGAATGTGTGTGGATGTGCAAATGATAAGAAAGAGATGATTGTGGATGTTATGAATGAGAAGCTGGATGTCCTGGCTTCAAGTGTAACAAAGCTGAAGGGGGTGGGAGAGTTTCAGTGGGTGAGAAATAAATGGGATTAGGTCAGGGGTTTCAAATAGAATTAGAGCTAAAGGAGTAGCAATAATGTTGAAGGAAAGAGGGAATATAAATGTATTAATTCAAGGATTATGTGGAGTAAAATAAGGGTTGGATGTGACAATTGGGTTATAGTAAGTATTTATGCACCTGGAGAAGAGAAGTGAAGTGGAGAGAGAGAGATTTTGGGAAATGTTGAGTAAGTGCATAGGAAGTTTTGAACCAAGTGTGAGAGTACTTGTGGATGGGGATTTCAATGTTAAAGTGGGTAAAAATATGGAGGGAGTAGTAGGTAAATTTTGGGTGCCAGAGGTAAATGAAAATAGGGAGCGAGGATAAATAAGTATGCAAGGTATGATATAGCATGCAATGAAAGTAGTTTGTTAGATTATGTATTGGTGTATAAAAGGTCGATTGGTAGGCTTCAGGATGTACATGTTTATAGAGGGGCAACTGATATATTTGATCATTATTTAGTTGTAGCTACAGTTAGAGTAAGAGGTAGATGGGACCTAAGGAAAATGGCAACAACAAATAAGAGAGAGGTGAAAGTATATAAACTAAGGGAGGATGAAGTTAGGGTGAGATATAAGCAACTATTGGCAGAAAGGTGGGCTAGTGCAAGTATGAGTAGTGGGGGGGTTGAAGAGGGTTGGAATAGTTTTAAAAATGCAGTATTAGAATGTGGGTCAGAAGTTTGTGGCTATAGGAGGGTGAGTGCAGGAGGAAAGAGGAGTGATTGGAGGCATGATGAAGTCATAGGTGTGATACAAGAGAAAAAAGGTGGCTTATGACAGGTTTTTACAACGGCTTGACAAAGCTCTTGGAAAGGGAAACATTGCCACAATAAAAATATCATATTAGTTGCACTTGTGTCCTTTTACTTTACATACAGGTTTTTACAAAGCATAAGTGTTATAAGAAGAACAGAGTACAGTGGACCCCCGCATAACGATGGCATCACATAGCGATTATTTCGCATACCGCTTACTTTAATTGCAAAAATTTTGCCTCACATACCGCTTAAAAAAACCCGCTTACCGATTTTCGTCCGAGACGCGTCCAATGTGCGGCCTGAGCCACGCTCACATGTTCCGCCGGTGGCATTGTTTACCAGCCAGCCTCCGCGGTAACATCCAAGCATACAATCGGAATATTTCGTATTATTACAGTGTTTTCGGTGCTTTTTCTGGAAAATAAGTGACCATGGGCCCCAAGAAAGCTTCTAGTGCCAACCCTACAGCAATACCTGGAGAGAGAGATAAGGGTGAGAATTACAATAGAGATGAAGAAAAAGATCATTGATAAGTATGAAAGTGGAGTGCATGTCTCCGAGCTGGCCAGGTTGTATAATAAACCCCAATCAACCATCGCTACTATTGGTGGTACAGCTGCTGCTGCTGCTGCACTGTCAGCTGCTGCTGCTGCTGCTGCTGCACTGTCAGCTGCTGCTGCTGCTGCTGCTGTAGCACCGTTGTTGGTGTGGCTTATTGAGAATACCAAGAAACAATTAACCCCAGAGGATTTGCCACCCAGGATAACCCAAAAAGTCAGTGTCATCGAAGACTGTCTAACTTATTTCCATTGGGGTCCTTAATCTTGTCTCCCAGGATGCAACCCACACAAGTCGACTAACACCCAGGTGAACAGGGAAAAATGCCTGGAACTAGTGCTCATATTGGTGAATTTAAAGCCAGCAAAGGTTGGTTTGAGAGATTTAAGAATCGTAGTGGCATACACAGTGTGATAAGGCCTGTTCTGGAAGAAAATGCCAACAGGACCTACAGTACTCAGGAGGAAAAGGCACTCCCAGGACACAGTGTCTCATCAGTCATTGCTGCATCTTCAATAAAGGTAAGTGTCATTTATTCATTTAGTAGACTAGTACATGCACAATATATACTGTGCATGTACTACTCTACTATTGTGTATGTATCCTTCTCTTTGTGTGTGGGAAAATGTATATTTCATGTGGTAAAAATTTTTTTTTCATACTTTTGGGTGTCTTGCACGGATTAATTTTATTTCCATTATTTCTTATGGGGAAAATTCATTCACATAACGATTATTTCGCATAACAATTACCCCTCTTGCACGGATTAAAATCGTTAACCGGGGGTCCACTGTATATGGAGAGTAAAAGAAAGGTGGAAAGAGTGGTGAGAGAGTGCAAAAGGAGAGCAGATGATAGTGGGAGAGGCACTGT